GCTAAAGCAATGAGGCAAATAAAGTTACTCAGGTCTAGAACCTCCCCAAGTGCTTGCAAAGCCGCTGAGCCCAGATCCTGCACCCAGCCTGGGGGGAGCACAAGGAATGGGGGTCACCCCCAGTGCTTCCCTTTGAGGGGGGAGGATTTTTATGTCTTTTAAAGAGGGTTTTTGTGTCTCTGGCTGCATCTGCTCCTGGCTGTGTCCCAAACCAGCCAAGGATCCAGTCACGGCTGTGCTGGAAGCTGTGACCCCCCCAACCAGAGCTTACAGGGAACAACCAAGTATCCCACATGGAACAGCCAGGAGCAAAGATGTTGGGGTTTTTTCCCCCCCAACATCTCCTATTTTGTAACCACCAGCAGAGCCATTTGGAGATATTTTGTACTAAAATAATCACCTATTTTTGAATGAAATAAATATTGTTGGTTGCTTTGTGGGTCTCCAGTCCTTTCCCAAACAGTTTCTCGGGCGAGTTTTGCCATCAATCCCCCAGGATCTCTCCCTGGGAGGGACATGGGGTTTGGTGAGAACATCTCCCAGGCCTTGCCCTCACCTGCCTGGCCCCCCCCAGCAAGTGGGACAGCACAGCCCTGGTTGCACTAGGGATGGAGATTGCTTTTATTGAGTCACTCGAGTGCTTTAGTACAGAAGAACAGATATACAGAGATGATACATGTTTGTGCTTCAACACTTTCAAACATTTAGATTCCAGTAATTTCAAGGTAAACAAGTTCCAAGACAGACTAGATTATTATTACTTTTTTTTTTTTTTTAAGTTTTCCTTTTTGATAAATTATTTCTTTTTTATATAAATAACTGTAACAGAAAATAATAATAATAATGTCCAACATACAAGATCCTGAAGCATTTGCATTGCTAAACCAAGAGGGGACTCAAACAGGGTTGGGAGGACCAAGGAGGAACCAACAAATATCAGTGCAATGATGCAGCCTTTGCCCTAAAAATATATATTTAACTTTATGGGCAAGGAACAGATGGGGAGGGAAGAGGGGGGAGGGGGGGAGGGCAAACCACCAACGAGGCAAGATTTCCCCCCCCATCCAGGACCAAAAGGGTGGCCCTGTGCCCCCCAGGGCAGATGCCACCCCAAGCTGAGCACTTCTGGGGATGCTCCAACTTCATGCAGCTCCTACAGCAGCACCCGTGGAGCCCCCTTGGCAGCTACATTTACCTCCACCCTTCTGTATGTACCTTATCCCATATTTTAGGCACCCTCCAGGGGCTGGATGCCCAGGGCTTGACCCATGTGTGTCCCTTCCACCCTCTGCTCTGCCCTTGAACTTGAACCAAGCCAGGTCCTCCCTGGGATAGCTCTTATTTTTTTTTGGTTTATGTGATTATTTGGGTTTTTTCCCTCCAAGCAAGCAGCTAAATCCCTCTTGTAGGGTTGATGGATGAGGTGTGTGTGTATCTCTACAGATACATATTTAGGTTTGGGATTTCATTTCCAGCATAATCCTTTAGGGCATTTAAGGGGTTGGTTGTGGGGGGGGTTTTTTTTGGCCATCCCTGGATGTGACCACCCAACAGTGTCACCCAGGCAGGTAAAAAAAAGAGCATCTCAGCCTGTGGTGCCCTGGCTGTGTTTATGTGTAGGACCCACCTAAAGTGCCCGGGTCAAATGTATTTATTTTTGGACTTTTTTTTTGGTACAAAACCCTGTGTTTAGGGGGGAGGAGTTGCTAAAGCAATGAGGCAAATAAAGTTACTCAGGTCTAGAACCTCCCCAAGTGCTTGCAAAGCCGCTGAGCCCAGATCCTGCACCCAGCCTGGGGGGAGCACAAGGAATGGGGGTCACCCCCAGTGCTTCCCTTTGAGGGGGGAGGATTTTTATGTCTTTTAAAGAGGGTTTTTGTGTCTCTGGCTGCATCTGCTCGTGGCTGTGTCCCAAACCAGCCAAGGATCCAGTCACGGCTGTGCTGGAAGCTGTGACCCCCCCAACCAGAGCTTACAGGGAACAACCAAGTATCCCACATGGAACAGCCAGGAGCAAAGATGTTGGGGTTTTTTCCCCCCCAACATCTCCTATTTTGTAACCACCAGCAGAGCCATTTGGAGATATTTTGTACTAAAATAATCACCTATTTTTGAATGAAATAAATATTGTTGGTTGCTTTGTGGGTCTCCAGTCCTTTCCCAAACAGTTTCTCGGGCGAGTTTTGCCATCAATCCCCCAGGATCTCTCCCTGGGAGGGACATGGGGTTTGGTGAGAACATCTCCCAGGCCTTGCCCTCACCTGCCTGGCCCCCCCCAGCAAGTGGGACAGCACAGCCCTGGTTGCACTAGGGATGGAGATTGCTTTTATTGAGTCACTCGAGTGCTTTAGTACAGAAGAACAGATATACAGAGATGATACATGTTTGTGCTTCAACACTTTCAAACATTTAGATTCCAGTAATTTCAAGGTAAACAAGTTCCAAGACAGACTAGATTATTATTACTTTTTTTTTTTTTTTAAGTTTTCCTTTTTGATAAATTATTTCTTTTTTATATAAATAACTGTAACAGAAAATAATAATAATAATGTCCAACATACAAGATCCTGAAGCATTTGCATTGCTAAACCAAGAGGGGACTCAAACAGGGTTGGGAGGACCAAGGAGGAACCAACAAATATCAGTGCAATGATGCAGCCTTTGCCCTAAAAATATATATTTAACTTTATGGGCAAGGAACAGATGGGGAGGGAAGAGGGGGGAGGGGGGGAGGGCAAACCACCAACGAGGCAAGAGAGATTTTTGGGGAAGGAAAATAGGGGTCACAGCCTTCAAAGGGGACAGAACAAAAACGATGGACCCCAAAAATATTGCAGTGCATCTAAGGGCAAGGGAGGGGACAATCTGAGGGGGGGGGGGGGTAAAAATGAAAAAAACCCCAACAAAACGACCAACCCAACTAAAAAAAAATCAGAGGTTTGGTTAAATCACTATACACCAAGCTTGTAAGAACGTCACAAGACACAGTCATTAATATACACAGAGTCCAAGTGGGGAGGGGGTCCCAGAGGGGTGTGTTGGGGTTTTTG